AGATGTTGTGTGTGTGCTTGTGAGTGTGTGTGATGGTGTGTGTGTGTGTGTTGTGCTGCTGCGGTGCGTGTGTATGTGTATGCCGTGCGCGTGCGTGCCTGTGCGCTGTGTGTGTGGTGTGTATGTGTGTAGTGTGTGTGTGTGTGTGTGTGTGGTGTGTGTGTGAGTGTGGTGTGTGTGTGTGGCTGATGTGTGTGTGGGTGTGGTCCGTGTGTGTGTGGTGTGTGGTGTGTGTGTGTGTGTGTGTGTGTGTTGTTGTGGCTGTGTGGTGTGTGTGTTTGTGTGTGTGTGGTGTGTGCGTGTTGGTGGTGTGTGTGGCGTCCTGTGTCCTGTGTCTGTGTGTGTCGGTGTGCCGTGCGTCTGTGCGTGCGGCGTGTGGGCGTGTGTGTGTGTGGTGTGTTGTGTGTCAGTGTGTGTGTGCGTAGCGTGGCTGTGTGTGTGCGTGCGCGCGAGTATGGCCGCCCTGGAGTCCGCCAATGCCGCCGCCACTGCTGAAAGAGCCTCCGCCGCCGCTGCGGAAGGAGCTACCTCCGCCGCTGATGAAGGAGCCACGGCCGCTGCCAGTGGAGGGGGTGACGATGCGTCTGGTGGTGACCGTCTGACCGCCGCCCTGGAGTCCGCCAATGCCGCCGCCACTGCTGAAAGAGCCTCCGCCGCCGCCGCTGCGGAAGGAGCTACCGCCGCCGCTGCTGAAGGAGCCACCGCCGCCGCTGTTGAAGGAACCGCCGCTGGAGAAGGTACGGCCGCTCGAGGAACCCTGTCGTAGTCCAAGGATTCCCTCTTTGCCAAAAGCATCGCCCATCACCGCTACAGAGTAGCTCAGCAGAAATGCAACAGCAAGGATCTTCATGGTGAACTAGATGGAAGAGACGGAGAGCAAATGCATATAGTGCGAACACGAAATGTTCAATATCACGAATCTGTACGGAAACCTTCTGCACACAACTGCAACTAATAGCTCTATGTAAGTGTTGTTTCACGCATCCAGCTCTTTTTTTAATTGGACAGTGTTTTGTCCACCATCAAAATGTTCGAACGTCGGATAACTTTTAGAGAATTTTACGTTGAGAGTGAAATTGATGTATTATATGACGTATTAACGTAATTTAATACATTGGTACGTGGATTAACTCTCACATGAATAACAAGACAAAGCAAAAGCTTTTCTCCGCACTAGCAGATATTTCCACTTACCTGTGGGAGAGCCAGTGGTCGCAGCGACTAGTCCTTATGGGTGTTAAGCAACCTGTGAAAATCCGTCCAGGTCCCCCAGCTATTTATACTCCGTGACGCTCATCTCTGACCCGTGAAGGACTGCTGCATAAAGTATCCTCCAGGCAGGGCTTACGTGGAGGTGTGTCTAGTTGTGGGCGTTTGATTTTTTCACTTTCACCGACAATAGCGGGCGGCCTTACATTACTAACCGGCTTCTCCGCTATTGGTCGGTCATTCTCGAGATGGTTTTTTCCATTCAACTAAGGATTCTTAGCCGCCATTCTAATTCACTGACGCGAGCAGAAAGAAATGACCTTCGGCATTGTTAAAAAGATGGGACGGGCCGAATAAGGACGAGCCTTGTAAGCACTTGCTATTACCTGGATAGTCTACGTGTGACGCCCAACTTGTGTGACCAATATGTGGAAACCTTATTAATTTAATCTATCTACTCACTATCTATTGGCTACCTACCTACCTACGTAACTACGTACGTGCATGCATGCACAGATACATACATACATACATACATACATACATACATACATACATACATACATACATACATTACGAATACATACATACATATCATACGATACATACATACATACATACTACATACATACATACATACATGCATACATAGCATACATACCATACATACATACATACATACATTACATACTATAATACAATACATACATACAGTACATACATACATACATACATACATACATACATACACATACACATACATAACATACATACATACATACATACAGTACATACATACATCACATACATTACAACATACATACATACAATACGAGGACATACATACATACATCACATAAACATACATACATAGCATGACATAATTCATATACATACATACATACACTACATAATACAACATACATACATACATCATACATACATACATACATAACATACATACATACATACATACACTACATACATACATAGCATTCATACATACATACATACATACATACATACATAACATACATACATACATACATAACAACCATCATACATACATACATACATACATACATACTACATACATACATACATAACATGACATACATACATACTACTACATAGCATACATACAACGATACATACATAACATACATACATACATAGCATACATTACATATCATAATTACATACATACATACTACATACATACTACATAAATACATACATACATACATACATACTACTACATACAGTAATAACATACCAGTACATACACTACATACCATATCAGTACATACATACATACATGACATACATACATACAATACATTACTCTACATAGCATAACATATCATACATTACATACATACATACATACATCACATACATACATCATCATACCATACATACTCAGATACATAATACACATACATACATACATACATTACAATACATACATACATAAATACATCAATCACATGACATACATACAATACATACATCATACATACTACATCACATACATTACCATACATACATACATACATACATTACATTAGCATATACATGTACCAATACATACATACATACAAATACATGCATACCATATCATACATACAACTACACATACATACATACTACATACATACATACATCATACTACATACATACATACATACATATCATACATACATACATAATCATACATACATACAACATACAACATCATTACATCATACATACATACATACATACATACATACATACATCATACATAATAAACATCATATCACATACATACATAATACTAGCATACATACATCCATACATACATACATACATACATACATTACATACATACATACATCATACATACATACATACAATACATACATACATACATAGCATATGCCATACATACATCATACCATACATTACATACACTACATACATACATACATACATACAACACGATAGACATACATACATACATCATTTACATACATACATACAGTACATACATAACATACCATACGAGTACATACATACAATACATACATCAACCATACATACATACAGATACTACATTACAGTACATACATACATACATACATACATACATACAATAGCAGTACATACATACATACATACATCCATACATACATACATACATACATACATTACATTACATACATCAATACATAAATACAGTAACATACATACTACATACATAACAATACATAGCATACAGTACATACATACTCATACATACATACATACATACATACATACATACATATACATACATTACATCATACATACATACATACACATACGATACAAGATACATAATTTCTATCTATCTACCCTCCCATACCTAACCTACCTTATCTATAACAGCGTACATACCGTTATCCTACTTTCCTTAGCCTACCTACCTACCGTACCTACCTACTCGAACTACCCGAGGTCTACCTACCTACCATTACCTACCTACCTACCTACCTACCTTACGTGCCTACCTACCTGCCTGCCTAACTCTACCTACCTACCCCTAGCCTACCTACCTACTATAGCCTACCTACCTACTACTACCTACCTACCTACCTACCTACCTCCTACCTACTACCGTACCTAACCTACCTACCTACCTAGCCTACCTACCTATCCTACCACCTAGCCTACCGTAACCGTACCTACCTACCTACCTAACCTACCTACGCCTACCTACCTACCTACCCTACCTACCTACCTACCTACGCTACCTACTACCTCCTAACCCTACACCCGCTACCCGTACGCTACACTACCTAGCCTACCGTACCTAGCCTGAACCGCGGTACCGTACCTACGCAACCGACAACGTACCTACTTACCCTAGCCTAGACACTACGCTACCACTACCGTACCTAGGGCTACCGTTACCTATCCCTACATATCCCACTAAACCTACCTACTAACGCGTACCTACCTACCTAAAACTCTAAGCTACCTAAACTAAACCCTACCACTGAAAACCTACTCTACCTAACCGCATCCGTACTCGTACATACTAGCGCCGTACCCTAACATAACCCACCTACCTACCTACCTACCTACCTACGCTACCGTAGACCCTAGCCCCTACCTACCTACGACCTACACCGCCTACGCTCCCTAACCTAACTACGTAATGTAAACTACCCCCTAGCCATACCTAAGCAATAAGCATACCTCTACCTACCCCTACGTACTACCTAAATCTCTAC